TCCTTTGGAATGCTCTGTATCTAATTGAAATATAAAATTGTTCAGTTCTTCTGATGATAGTTCCTTACAAATAATACCATTGTATTCTAAATTGGAGTGGAGAACTTGGTGATGAAGTATGCAACTGTCCTTGGGGTGGCAAAGGCTGTTTCATTCTCTAAAAGATGGTTTTCAAAACATAATTTGTTTCTCTTCTCAATTGCAATTAATGCCACACTTAAGAAAGCTTAAAATACCACCTTTTATTATAAATTATGTACCAGTTTGACATAATTGTGACTTTGGCTGCTTATAAGACCATTTACAAAAACAGCCTCATTCTTCATTCGTCTCTTTTAAAGTCTTTCCAACAAAAGCAAATTATTTTACAGCTGGTTTATAATTGAGTTGAAACTCATCCTAACACTGTGCAATTCTTAGTGACATGTCTTGCCTTACCATGCTCCGAAATACAACCATCTTATTGGACCTGGGCTCAAGGGCTGCTTAAGGTATGAAGTTGTTCACTGCTAGACAGGAGGACAACCCAGATTTCTACCAGGACACAAAGGATGCTGGATTAGTATACACTGTCATAAGCAACCACAGTCTGTTTGCTTTCCCTCTTTAAATTCCAAAAATAATACCCCAAAGACTACCTTTTCAAATTCTTCAACATCTGCAAAAATCTTTAGTATTCTGTACTTGGAGTTAGTCAAGAAATTCCATCCCTAGAAGTCCAAAACCAATCAATAATATATGACACTGATTTTCTCTAAATTATTATTTTCTTATGGTTGGGTCTCCTGCCAACTTTATGTCTCCCAACTGCTCAATTCTACTACAAGGTCTGTCACATGATAGGTGTTCAATAGTGTTGGCTAATAACAAATAAAACAAATATATGGGCTGGGTGCCATGGCTCACGCCTGTAATCTCAACACTTTAGGAAGGCTGAGGTGGAAGGACTGCTTGAGCCCTGTCGTTTGAGACCAGCCTGGGCAACATAAAAAGACCATCTTTATAAAAAATTTTAAAATCGGCCAGGTGCAGTGGCATGCCCCTATAGTTCCAGCTACTTAGGAAGCTAAGGGAGGAAAATCCCTTGAGCCCAGGAGTTCAAGGCTGCAGTGAGCTGTGATCAACCCACTACACTCTAGCCTGGGTGACCAAGTGAGAACCCTGTCTCTAAAAAAGAAATAAAGAAGGTAAAGAAGTATATGGTGGCCAAACAGGAGGACACCACCTATTACAAGTGGTCCCCAGCCAATCTTTGCTTTGTTGATTCTTGATTGCTTTTTTTAAGCAGAGGTCACTGTCCTTAATCTAGACCCTAACTCCAGACTCCAGCCAATCCTAGGGGGGAAGAGAAAGAAGTCCAAGAAAGAGCAAGAGGAAAATGATGGTCATTGACAGAGCTGATGGAAAGCATATCTTGACACGTATTTGTTATGAACACAGTCCCATCCTAGAGTTATAGTTATGCCTAGAGTCACCACATTCAGCCACTGACCTACTGTTTTCCATTGCTTTTTCCTGCTACACTGCTTTCACTCAGCAAAGCTCTGCAACCACACAGGATTCACTGCATGTGATGAAACATGATGTAATGTTAAAAGTCTCTTCAGGAGCTCCTGATCTTTCTCTAATGATCTATAAGGTTAAAAATTAATAATAATAATTATCCTGCATATTAGCTGTGACCTGAAACATAGCTTTGTATCATGCATTGTGAAAAAAATGACAACCTCGTTCCTGTTTGCCTTTACTAATAGAATATGAATGGCTGAGAAGCCTTCTCTGTATTACGATAGTTGTGTTTTGAAGGGGAGATGAGGAAGTGGTGTGTGCATTCTTCCTGCATCCCATGGGCATAACACAGGATACACACTTAAGTAGGTGTGTGCACATTCAATGTGAGTTAAGTGTCATTTGGCTAAACCAGGGAGTGGCGATACTCTTCTCAATGTTGTCATATTGTCTTTGATTCATGCCTTTGAACATGTCCGGAGGGCATGACCAGGAGAGTAAAGGATTTGAAACCCATACATAGTGAAATGGTTGGACATTGACTCTATTTAGCCCAGAAAAGGGAAGATATAAAGAGGATTGGTGACTGGCCTCAAATACTTGAAGAACTAGTGATCTGTTCCATGTGGCCCCAGATAGTAACGCTACAGTTGGAGAGTGGAGCCCCCAAAGAGGTATGTCTAGACCAATATAAGAAATAACTGCCAACTAGAGGGAGCTGACTGGAAGCAATGAGTTTCCTTATCCCAGGGGACTTCAAGGGGAAGCTTGATGGCAGCTCCTCTGATGATATTGAGTTAAGTGTCTTCCTTCTAAAACTCCTGAAATCTAAGGTAATGTGACGTGACACAGATGACTTATAGGCAACTGACCAAGCGTGTGTACTACATGCCTATGGGGAAGGGTATGAAGGGAGAATTGCTTGTTTAGTCAAGATGGGATCAGTTAGAAAGTGTTTCTCTCTTGTAATTCATTTGGAAAGTTCTCATTGCAGGTAGGATTTTTTCTTGTTGTTGTTGTTAAGAACTAGTTAGAGAAAATATGGTAAAAGCCCAGCTGGTAGATGAGAAAAAACTCAAAAACAAAATGGGAGGTCATAGATGGGGAAAAAACTCAAAAACAAAAATGAAATGTTATACAATATGGATGTTAAATAAACTTGCCTAAATAGAGGGCGTAGTTCAAGAGTGAGAGGAGTCAAGGAAAATTGGGTCATCAGTAAACGGTGGATCCACATGGAAGGATAGGAAGAGCCATACATCTTAGTGTCAAGTTACTAATCCCATGAATAACCATAGCTACCCTCAGTCCCCATCACCTGCTCTAAGTTCTTCTTGGTGCTGAAAACAGAAAAGGTGAGTACAATTTATGATGGGATTGGATATACCCCCCAAGGTCTACGTTAAGTACACATCTCTTCACTGGTTTTCAGATAACTGCTTGGGAATTTAATACACTCTGAAATTCATCTTATTATATATGTCCTTTTTATTAAATTTTAAAGCAACAAATATTTTCAATATAATGAATCATTGTCAAACCTAGTGAAAAATACATTTCCAAGCAAATTCTTGTTAATTAAAAAAGCTTTAAGGCCGGGTGCGATGGCTCACGCCTGTAATCTCAGCACTTTGGGAGGTCGAGACAAGCAGATCTCTTTGAGCTCAGGAGTTCAAGACCAGCCTGGACAACACGGCAAAACCCCATTTCTACAAAAATTAGAAAAATTAGCTGGGCATGGTGGCTCACACCTGTATTCACAGCTACTCTGGAGGCTGAGGCTGAAGAATCATTTGATCCAGGAAGCAGAGGTTGCAGTGAGCTGAGATCATGCCATTGTATACCAGCCTGGGCAACAGAGTGAGACTCTGTCTCAGAAAATAATAAATAATACATAATAAATAAATAAGATCTTTTACTGACATAAATATAGTTGTAAATGCCTTCTCTCCTTAAAAGAAACTCATGTCAGTTTGTGGTGCTCATTTGTTGTATTTTGAATTTTTCTACTACATTCAAAGATTTCCCCTTAAGATGATTGTAACAAATAATTTTTGATTTATCATATCTGAAGAAAGAAATGATAATACGTGATATTAAGTCATTCAAACCATATGAAGAAAAGGTAGAAGAAAACTTAAATGTATTATTAGTGGGAACACAAAGTCTTAACTCCATAAATAGCAATTCCTTTTCTCTGAGATCTGATTTATACTTTTATTTTTTAAAAGTCATCCTCCCCACGGACAAGTCTAAAGCCTAAAAAGCTAACTTTAATATTGTAAGTTCAGAGGCTGACTCTTGGAGGTATTAAATTCAAACTTGCCAGTGCCCTTGTTCTGAGTTCTTGACACAGGGTCATGTTCTGCACACACGCATTGCTTGAACATGCAGAGTAGCATTTTGATAGGAAAAGCATATGTCCAGCAAAAAATTGCTGCTAACTGATTCAAACCAGAAAAGCATTCACAGAAATACCCTCTGGTCATAAAAACAAAATTATTTTTTCAATGAGAAAGAACGTTTCTTTGTGATTTTGGACATGGAATATTATCTTCCTACCATCTGTATTTCCTAAATTATTGCTATTAGACAATGTGAAGAAGGTTTAAATTGCTGAAAGATCCACCTCTGACTAGACCACACCATGCATAGAACCTGCTATTGTTTCACAAAATAGAAAGGAGCAATTTTAGTAATTTAGAGAAACTGACTAATGCTCTTCTAATACCGGATCAAACAATGCTTAAGTCTTTACTCTGATATAATAATGATCTTCATGCCAAACCTGACTATCTGAACAGAAACAGGCATTTTGCCACAAATGCACCTCACCAGTGCCCACAGTCTGTTTATCATTAGAGAACCAAAGATGGTCAAGTGACATCCCTAGAGTCTGATCATAATTCAGAAACAAAGGTAAGGCTCCTTCCCTGCTTACGTGTCCAGCCCTGTCTTCCTTAGCCCACCCCACATTTCCTCTCCTAATCAAAGATAGAGTCTGGAGTGTGCTAGTGTAGAAAATCATCTCATCCACCTAATAGAAAAATATATGTTAGGGGAAAATATGGAACAGGAAACAGTTTGTAAAAAATCACCAACTCCTAAATAGAAACCTTTTAAGAGGCTGAATTGTTGAATAGATAGTAACTCCCGGGACAACTGAAGGGGAAAAGAAAACCTTTTAATTAAAAGATTTCCTATTTTAGGAAAGCTTCCAATTTTCTACCACTGAAAATTGGGGGGAGGTGGGTGGGAGGGAATGAAAACAGTTGCCTGTGATGTTGGAGCTGTCCTCTGGTCTTGGGTCCCGATCTGCCGAAAATTCCCTCCCCGCCCCCAGGCACATTGGTTTTGTAAATGCCTGAGTGTGGCACCCTGTGGGAAAGATGATGCTTTGTGTGAATGCATTGTTAAGGCAGGTCTTGGGGAACTGTGCACGGGGAGATAGCAGATTTCTGATCTCTAGTTTGCATTGATCTTACATTTAGACACAGATTCAGAAGAACAGACCCTCCCTTTTCCAGTGCCTTCGGAAAGATTGCCGCTCCGTAGAATGAGTCCTTTCTCCTCCACCCTTAATCTACAACCCAGCTTCCCCGGGAGATCCTACTTTGATTTCCGATCCTCACCCCACCAGCTGAGCTTGCATTCCTCTTTACAGTCTCTCAATGCACCGGGTGAGCTGAGCTCCTCAGACCTTTCCCCTTGATCTCTGTGCCTTGAAGGCATCTCCGAAACCGTGCTTTGTTCTTGCCATTCATGTGCGTGGTGAGGGGGATGAGCTAGTCTCTGTGTCTGTGGCCTGCTTCCGGTATGAGGAGCATCTGGATGGTGGAGCTTTGTGGTGTTCTTGTTTGTGTGGTGTAAGGAGGAACCATGGAGCTGTGGTCTATGTATAACGGCATCAGAAAGTGATGAGTGAAGTTATTCTTTTTGCACAAGCTGGACCACCATGGATAACCCGCTCTGTCATCACATGCAGAGGCATAGCACGGCACGGGCTCTGGCTGAGTGGAGGCCATGGCAGCAAAGTGGAGGTTTGCAGCCCTTCTGTATCCAGGAAACCAGCTGTGTCTGGGAGACTGGATCAGTGCATCCAGCCTGGAGTGGTCTGATTAAACATAGACTCAAGAGATCTTTATTGACAAAGTAAAACAAAAGTAAAAACACACCAACATTTTATTGACAAAGTAAAATAAAAGTAAAAACACACCAATAGCAGAAAGCATTCTACAAAGCAGGCGATCCAGAGAGCAGAAAGTGAAAGCGTTTTCTGCAAAAGCCTGTTCTCACTGCTAGGCCAGTGGGGCTCATGGCTGAGTGTTCTCCTAGCAACGGGGTGGGACCACTGCTAGCTGATTAGAAACCCTTAACTGCTAATGCCTACTGACCAAAGATCTGAGTAATCAAAGTCTGCCCTCCTCAAAGTTTCCCACAGCCAAGCCGGTTGTGACAGAGCCTATGGCTGATTTCAGCGAAGCTAGACTTGTGTTCCTTTGTAGTGAACACTGCCTAGCAAATAGAATCTTAAAATATCTAAGATGCAGACCTATTTGATCTCTTCAGGACTATATTGTAATCATGGATACACATAATGCACATTTCACATTTCCAAAGGTTTCTTTTGCTTTTTATTTTGTTCTTTTTGCTCATCCCACATTCTGGAATGAAGAAGGCCACAGCATGACAGTGCAAAAAGGATGCAGGGACTTCAAGCTCTCTTTAAAATGACATTTTTCTTTGTGCTTTTATGTTTCTTATTGTTTTTCTGTGCACTATGGCTTCCCAACATGCTTTGTTATGAAACTCTTTTCCCTTGTGTCTAATGTACTGAAATATTGTTACAGTCTTTGTAATGTACATTGTCTCAAGAATAAAAATGAAATGTGAGTTTTGGGATATTTGATGGGTGTATTTAAGAGCATTATTCTAGTTGTATTGTTGAATCTTAAATATATGATAATGTATTTAAAGTAGTGTAAAAAGATTTCAGAATATTTGTTTTGAAAAAGAGTTGCACAAGGCATGATTCATTTAAAAGTCTTTAAAGCCCTGGTCAGATTCTACAAACTTATTTCCAAAGCTGAATATGAGAGTCAGTTTTAAAACTCTGGGTGTTCCATACTCACTATGCTCTAACACATGAATAGGAATTAAAGTGATAATTGATAGAAACTAAACATAAAAATCAGCCATGAGCTGGGAGAAAATGATTCTTTTGCATGTGAATTCATCCCAGCATAAAACAAACTAACCAAAAGTAAGATCATAATTTTTATATTTTGTTTTTAACTCAGTCATTAGTCCCTTTTTATAGTAAATTGATTTAATTCTTGTGAAATCTTTTAAGTCCGCACATTATCCTCCAAATGTTTTAGGAATTAGCATATAAAGGCCTTACTAAATAGAAAAAAAAAATTAAATGATCCTTTCTTTATCCCCCAGTGCTCATCAAAACCACATTTTCTAGATCAGTCCCTGAAACCACTGGAAATTGTAAGGCACACACCTTTGAACATTTTAAGACTAGACAGTCTTCCTCCACCCCGATGTAGTTTCTGATGGGGTATAGGTATCCAAATCTTAGGGAAGGCAGATGGTTGAAAAAGTTTCACAGGCGATTCCAATATATCTCTGAGACCACACCCACTCCTACCAGCCCTCCTCTCCTCCCTCAGGTGAGAAGGATCTTCTCTAAGGAGAGGAGGCAATTTTAACACGTTTGCCATGTTATTATTAATAATTATCAGATGCATTACATTACACATTTAGTTAGAGATGTGTTATTTAATTTGGGCTCAAGTCACAATGAAGACCTTTTGGCATAACCAGACTCTGAAGTGCATAGAATAGTGAGATAGAGCAGAGTTTTATCAAAAATCCAGTGACTTCTCCATTTCAATTAAGTACATTTTCCTCATTTTTAAAACAGCTCGCCTTCTTTCTGTGGAAACTTTAGAGGAAAAGATTGAGCTCGGAAGATGAAAAATTCAGCTAGAGTTTAGGATCAATTGGAGGATGATTTATTAATGGTAAAAAGATGTGCTTTTCATTTTGAAAGAGCAGAAAGGCAGTTTTTCACCCAGCAAAGTAAACTGATATAAAAAGGGCTTTGTTTTTTCATGGATCAGGCCTCTGGTATCAGTATTCAGCTGGTGCTTTTTAAGTGTATATACAAGTAATTTTTATCAACCTGGTTGTTGTTTCTTAGCGTTGATGTGTAGTATCTCTTTATAGGATGCAATTTTGAGACACAATCTGCACCTTACTCTCAATTAGGCAAGTATACTTATTGTAATTGTTATCTTTTACTTACGTGATTGATGTGCTCAATTTTTTTCACAAAATAAATGGCAGCAGCTTGTCTTATGTCAATAAGATGGTCTAATTGTCATTCTAACCCTATTATAGCAGTTTCTCAAACTCTTTTTAAAAAATGGAAAAGATGCCTGTAGGTTTTAATGTTATGCCTCAAAGCTTACTTTCCCCCCAGTTTTCTTATACATCAATGCAAAGCACTCTTTATGAGCACTAAATGTGGGAAAAGGTACAGGTCAGAGAGATCCTGTTTAGTATATGTGGCGTTTTAAATTGAGTCCTTTTGGGGTACTAGTCTATGAAAGAGAGACATGTTTTCTTATCCATGTCAATTTTGCTTCCTATCTCTCTCCCCCATGCCTTTCCCTTGGAATGACAACAGTTGACATTAAAAAGCTGTTGGCAGGTATGGAATAACCTTATTCTCTTATCAAATAGCAAAGACCAAAGTGCATGTGAGGTGTCTCACAGGTTCAATAAATCAGCAATTACATCTCTTGAGTGTGATATTTATAGGTGGCATTTAGAACTTGGGGCGTAACAATGTGTACAAACACATCATTCTATCTGCACCTACTGTCCAAAATACCTACTGCTCCAGCAAAATTTCTGATGTGTTAGTTTCAGGAGTAGCACGCAAACTGTGTTTTTTTTTGTTTTTTTTTTTTTTTTTTTTGTTATGCAGACAGCAACCTGTCCAATATCCAAGTCACAATCACTCATGAAAATTAGTTTATGTTGCTTATAGCTTCGCAGCTTGTGAGCTTTCACTAGAGCTGAGGAAAACTTCAAAGCGACTAGATGTTAGCACTTCTGCCGAAGGGATATTTCCTGATTTCACTCCATGTGTTTTATCCCTCCTCCATCTAGGACTCTAGCTCCTAGCCTCCCCGCCTCAGGGGTTACACAGGCATCTTAGCGCATCCCCTCTCCCTTTATGTCTCTGGTGCACTGTTCTGCCAGTCACCAGGTGAAGGGACTTGCACCTTCCAAAATCGATGCCACTTCACTCCCGGATCACCTGGTTGGGAGTGCAGTCTGAGCCAGGTAACCCCTGCTGAATCGGTCGTGTGTCCTCCGTCTGCTTCTGGTGCAGAGAGTACCAACTCCCAGGACGTGCCCCTGTCTGCCCTGGTCCTGGACGCCTCCTTCCTGCATGGCAGCATGAAAACGCTACACAACGCTCGTCACCCGCCCAGGAGTATGTTATGGTGCTGAGCTTGTTGGGTCTGTCTTAATAACCTGATTCCCTTCTGTTGTTCCCAGTGGCCTGGTTTGCTTTCGACCCTGGCTCGGCACACTCAGACATCATCCTCTCCAATGACAACCTGACAGTGACCTGCAGTAGCTATGACGACCGGGTGGTGCTAGGGAAGACTGGCTTCTCCAAGGGCGTCCACTACTGGGAGCTAACGGTAGATCGCTATGACAACCACCCTGATCCTGCCTTTGGCGTGGCTCGCATGGACGTGATGAAGGATGTGATGTTAGGAAAGGACGACAAAGCTTGGGCAATGTATGTGGACAATAACCGGAGCTGGTTCATGCACAACAACTCGCACACCAACAGGTACCCTGCAGCCCCCAAACCAAGCCTTCTTCACGTTGGCGGCTGATCAGAAGCGAGAGCCCTAGTTCAAAAACCTATTACATAGACCATAGTAAGGAAGTCAGGGAGGTGGTCTACATTAAGTGGCACAGGCACTCTGTGAGCCTCAGCTGAGTCCATGCTGGTGGTTTACTTTGTGTATAATGATAGAGACTTGAATGCTTTCCTGCTCCCTTCATTGCTGTATTACACCCATGGCTGGAAAGAATCCCAGTGATATCCATTATAAAGAATAATGCAGGATGCCGAAACACCCAGACCTACAACTTATCAGAAAAACACAAATTACTTCGTTTTTTTGAACCTCAGTTTCCAAATCCATCAAATTAGCATAATAAAATTTTTCCTTGTGAGAATGTTCTGAAGATTAAATGAGATATGTGAAAATGCCTTACATTGGAAGCACCTGAAAATAGAAGCCATTGTTCTTATTACAATTCATTAAACTAAAACATATGAATGCCAATTTGGATGGCTTTTTCCTTAAAGAGAACTCTCATTACCACTGTAATTCAGAGCACCCAGTTTGCTAAGGAAAGGAAATACAGTTATCTCCCTGAGGTTTTCTTCTACCTCCAAAATATAGATAATTATAATCGAACACATGCTATAATGGATTTCCTTTTTCATTTGATTGTGTTCTTCAAATGTATTTTTCACAAATTTTCTAGGCAGAGAAATTTCTACTGTGGACCCTGGTCCACCTTATGCTCCAAGATTTCCCCAGGATACATTCTCATTAGTATCTCTGAAAAAGAAAATACAGTAGTGTTCAGTCAGATCAAAGGGAAAGCAAGTCAGGCAGTGGTAGCATAATTGGACTCCACTGTTTTATCTTTTTCTCTATGCTCTTCGCTGACCCTTCTCCAGCCTGTAGCCTTCTAAAGCCTCCTTTCCCCTTGGATAGTTTCTATGGCATTCAAGTGCGTATTATTCGCTATCACATGAAGTGAACACACACACCATTTCACCATGATAGCAAATCCTACTGGATGTAGATAAGTGGTTATCTTTAGTGATTAGCATTTTGGGGAATTCTCTGTCACTAGATTCCCAATGCTATCACCCAAATGCCACACTTACTTTTTCCCTTTTAGCATCTTTATTTTGAAGTGCAGGAGTAAATAATGACATAATCATCACACTATGCAGAGAAACACATTCCTAATGCTGAACACATCTGCTTGCATGCAAACTGCATGACACTTGTGCTTGCATTGTTAAACCTGTGAATTAACAAGAGGCAATTTGTAAATCTGTCTTTTAATGACTATGTACAGTCTGTATCCTGCATGCAAGAGGAAATGAATGACACACATTCTTTTGCTCTGCTGAGATGAGGATGAAATTCAGTATTGCTAGATCTCAAAAAGATGGGAAAGACAAATCTGATCATCCATGTTTAATGGCATTTTGTGAAACCATCAATTGAAACCTAAGACACAATTCTTTATAAAATGGCATTTGTATGCAGGTTCCTGAAAATCCCTACATCTCAGAGTATAATTATTTCACTGTACAGGGAAGAAGGCTCTTCTTCAGTGCTGTCATTTTACAGACAGCCTCTAAGTTCTTAATTCAAATGCAACAAGCCAAAGAATTACCATCCTCTGGAATGAGTTTTTCTATTTAATGGATAACATAAGGCTCCAAATCCAATTTCTCATGCATGTGGTTTAGGTGCAACAAAGTGATTCTTTATTTTGGCTCAAATTAAGTCACTTTATATTTAATGATATTTAATCCACACCATGCATACAAAGTGTGCAACATTCCTAGAGTCAGAGCTCTGATAGCCCAAAGGCAACTTCCTCCTAGTCTTTTATGTTTTGTTTTCCACTGCTGTGTCTCAGTGGTAGAGACCCTAATGAATGAGTTCGTTCTCAACAACAGCAGAGCAGCTCACAAGCGCTGATATTCCTCCAGGAAGTGAACACTGATGGCGGTGGGGAGGGGGCAAAAAATCATACTCTTTTTATATATAAAGCACAGATATACACACAGTACCAACAGGAATGCAGTATATCTATGGTAAAAATGTTATGTACAAGGGATGATTAGGGAAAAGGTTTTGGGATAGTGATGATTATAAACGGGTTACAAGACACTGGTTTAACCACACAAATTGGGGGAGCTTCTAGAGTGACCACAGGCAAGTAAACCCTAATTTTTTCTTTCTCTTCCTACAGAACCGAGGGAGGGATCACAAAAGGGGCCACGATTGGGGTCCTCCTCGACTTAAATAGAAAAAACTTGACATTTTTTATCAACGATGAACAGCAAGGTCCTATAGCATTTGATAATGTGGAGGGCCTGTTCTTCCCTGCGGTCAGCCTGAACAGGAATGTGCAGGTAAGCACCCTACCCCAGAGGTTAAACAGCTATTGCTGGCAGAGCCATTCAATCTAACTGGAGAGAGGGAAGCTGACAGCATAAGGCCCAGACCAAGAAATGGAGGAAAGGAGGAGAGAAAGGGATCAACATTGACAACTGCTATTATTCCATGCCAAGCATAAGCGCCTTCTTTATACTTGGACACAGTCTAGTTAGCAGCACGTTGGAAACTAGAATTCTCTTCATGGTTGTCTGATGATCATCCCTCTAGCTCTAGTTTCTCTCTAAGTAGAAATGAAAGCCTTTAACCAACTGGTATGAAAACAAATGCAATGACTTCACAGAGCTCTAGGAGTGCCTGAGAAGAGGTGAGGGTGTAAGACTGAAGTTAGTATCTTTATCAGAAAATCTGATCATTTTCCCTGCACTCTTGTTTGGCTCTGTTAGGTCCTAAGGGTAGAAAGCATAGTCCCTGCCTATAACTTAGTTAATTATAATTTATTATAGAATAAAACAGCAGCTTCTTCTCATTTATTTATTCAACAAATATCTATAGAATGCCTTTAGTGTGCCCGGCCCAGTTGTAAGTGTTTGGAATACATCAGTTAAAAGGAAAAAAAAAAACAGATAAAAATCTTGCCTTCATAGAACTTACATCCTAGTGATAGGAGACAGACAATAAATAGTAAGCATAATTACAATGTTAATTAGCTGGTGTGTCAGAAGGTGATGAGTGCAATGGAGAAAAGACCAAAGGGAGGGTAAAGGGCGCAATGGAGAGAAGACCATGGGTGCTGGGGTTGGGGAGGGCAGCTGCAGTCTTAAATAGGATGGTCAGTGGAGGTAGGGCTTACTGCAGTTACGGGTGAGCTGAGCCTTAAAGGAGTGAGGGAGGGAGTTGTGTGGAGCCTTCCAGACAGAGGGAACAGCCTGTGCACAGTTTCTAAGGCATGAGGGGCCTTGCATGGGCAAGGAAGGGTGGAGAGGCTGGTGGGCTGGGGCCTGTCAGGAAGACCAGAGCCATGGGGGAAGAGCTGTGCCCTGCCAGCTGCTGTCAGGACTTAGGGTTTCACTTCCTTCCTGAGCTGGGCCTCTCATTAACAACTATAAGCCTCACTCCACAAATGGTTGTTTGTTTTTTTTTTTTTTTTTTTTTTTGAGACAGAGTCTCAATCTGTTGCCCAGGCTGGAGTTAAGTGGCAGATCTCAGCTCACTGCAACTTCTGCCTCCTGGGATCAAGAAATTCTCTACCTCAGCCTCCCAAGTAGCTGGGATTACAGGCATGTGCCACCATGCGCAGCTAATTTTTGTATTTTTTTAGTAGAGATGGGGTTTCACCATCTTGTCCAGGCTGGTCTGGAACTCCTGACCTTGTGATCCACCCACCTCAGCTTCCCAAAGTGCTGGCATTACAGGCGTGAGCCACCATGCCCGGCCTATGGTTGTCTTAAGTTAGGCCTGGAGAGTCACAATACTACAGATGATTTTTGCCCTGACCAGAACCAGTCTTGGAAACTATTTATAAAAATTCATTATTGTCTTTCGGTATGTGCAGTAACATTGATTGCAAACTAGTGGCCCCTGCCCTTCTCTTTTCTGGCAAGGATGTGGGGTTTCCTGGAAGGCTGGAATCTAATCTTTCAGAGTTCAGCCTCTATACTGGAAGAAAGAAAGCCATGAATTACCCTAGAAGCAAGTCTCAGAAAAACCTCATTTAAGGTTTTCACATTTTTAGCCATTTCCCTTTCAAAGAATATTGTATTAGATGCTCTTCAGGGGTTTTCAGCACCTTCTGATTATCTATCGATAAAGACTCTTGGGGTGGAGAAGAAAGGGACAAGAGCTGGATGAAATTGTTCTAGTTTTATCCATAGCTACCCGTTGAGGTTTGGGGATACACAGAAATCGATGAAATAGTATTTAGGAATTCAAAGTAATTGGTGAAATAGTATAATTCCATGTTTTTTCACACATATCAATCATCTTCACAATCCCAGAAAGAAATGTTTGCCCTAATTGGAATAAGTAGTGGACAGGTAATAAGGGACTGGCTGTCTCTGCGAATTTGTCCTCTACCTGTGGATTTGGCAGTAGTCACTGTGGTGTGGCCAGCAGACTCCACTACCTGAAAACCAAGCCCTGTGTCTTCAGTTGTAAGGAACACAGGCTTCCCAGAATCCTTTAAAAGAGGCAGGTAACTGAGAACCATATAGTCAAATGTCACCAGGATTTGAGAGACCACTGTGGTGAGCAGGCTCTCACCATAGGCAGAATTCTTCTTAAGTATCCTTTAATGGCTCCTAGCCTAGATGTTTAAAGAGAAGCAAACAGAACACTTTTTGAGCTAGGGACACACCCAGGTACACTGTGTAAAGGGATGGGGTATGCACGGTGCCTCTCAGGACTCATAGTCTCATTCCCCAGGTCACGCTGCACACCGGGCTCGCAGTCCCCGACTTCTACTCCAGCAGAGCATCCATAGCCTAAGGATGTGCCGTGGAGGCGCCAGCTGCCTGTTCTTACCTCCGCCTGCGAGAGCCACAGCAAGGAGCTCAGCCAGCCGTGGTGCGGTGCAGAGTTGGCAGAAGCGGGAGAAGGAGGAGAGAAAAGCTGGTCCTCTGCAGTCTTCACACCTACAGCTCTGCCCTTTTCCCTTCCAACCTCTCCTCTGCTGTTATGCCTGTTTCCGCTTCCATGTCCAACAGTTCTAACCAACAAAGGACCTAGACAGCCCACCATGTCACTTGGTTCCCACTCCCAGATTTTGCTTTTATTTAACTTAATTTTTTTATGTAGGTGAGTTATATTTTCTTTCTCTTCTGATCAGGTTATTGGTGACTTACTGGACCGGCATTGCCAAGAGAAAATTCTCTTGCTAACTTTCTTTCTTATGCTTTCTGTCAAACAATGAGGTTATAGGGGAGGTAGGGAAGAATGAGCTGAATTTGTAGCATACAGCTTACCTCTTAGAATGTTCTTGCTCTGTTACCTCTCCTGTAGCGTTAGTTCTGCAGAGCTAAGCTTTGGGAGGGTGAACCTATCACTGAGAAGTCTTACTACTCATTGAAGCACAAAAATATCCGCTACACAGGTTCACATCAGGGTAGGAGCATTAGGATGGCCGTACAATTAGGATAGGCCAGCAACTCTGGCCATTGTATAAAATTGGAAAGTATCTAAGACATAGGCAAACCAGGGGACTTAATGATTTGGTTCATTTATTTAATACAAGCTTTTAATTGAGAAGCTACTATTGACCAGGCACTGTTCTAGACACTAGAACATTATGTTCTAGACACTGTGGGGACACAGTGGTGAACAGACAGGCATAGTCTCTGCCCTTCAGAGCTTATATTCCAGTAGGAGAAAAAGCAAAAATAAAATAACTAAAATTGTCATATGTACTAGAAAGGAAATAGGCAAAGGTCAAAGAGGCTCATGGGCAAGATCTTTCAGGCTTCCTAGAATGATGCTAAAATCCACACATTCTGGCCATAGCACCAGAAATGTACCAACTCAATGCCTTTTTAGCTGCGCTGTGTAATTATGGTACCTGCTGCCACTCATCGTAGAGCCCTTCTTGGTAGAAATGATGTCAGCATTCTTATTTGCTAATGCTGCTATGATACCACGCCTTAAAAACTGATAGTAAAAAACAAAACAAGAGTGACCGGAGGGCAAAGGACCCGTTCTCGTTAATGGGGATCTTGAGTTGCAGTCCACAGCATTCACATTCTCAGGATAAACATGCTTGTCTCCATAATAGACTATCTGTGCCTGTTATGAATGAAAAATCTATCCACTCTGCCGCCATTCACAGTCTAATTTTCTGGAGTAGTCCAAATAATGTTTGGAAAAACATGGGATTGTATGGTCATTACTATGACTGATAGCAGAATAATAATGCATCTTCTATATAGAGATAGACTTACATCTCACTTCTATGTAGAGATAGACTTAACATTACCCTCGAAATTCGTTAGTTTGGCATGAAGTTTTAGGAAAAGCAGGACCTGGAAAGAACTTCTGGTTAGTTGTCTAAATATTTTTCAGTGAGCCAAGCAATTCACCATGAAAAAACAAGAATAACAAATAGAAGGGAAGAGCTAGGATGGGAAAGCTAACAAAGTTTTGGCAAAAGGTAATATATGTACATAGCTGATTCTTTACTTTTGTGCTTACTTTATTCAGATTCTATCAGTTACAATCTTTTTCTAGTCTCGTGTATCTAACTTATGGAATGGGTGCTATCCTGTTTATGTGCGTCTTGGTTTTTCTTGGCTACAGAAAAACTGTTGCAGGGCAACACTAGTTTGATATTTGATTTACTCTCCAATGAGACTCGATGGCTGGGCCGCGGTAGACTCATAGTTCCTCTTGTTCTTTATTAAATTCATCCTGCTAATTAGATTTCTAGTGACCTGTAACACGTAGTTTACACTGAATTGCAATTATAGATGCGTACAACTACTATACTAGAAAAAATTGTCATTTCTGGTGTGCCAATAAATGATTTTTATGAGAGAACAAAATGTCTCTTTAGAATTTCTTAGTTTTTATCTATTTGGGATGACAGTTCACCTTTGTCAGAGCGGTGTTTCTTCAGCACAGTGTCACTGGAAAGGCCCCCACAGCTCTGGAGAGCATGTGTTCTTTCTTCTGTTTCCTTGGGTATATGGTACTGCCTTTTGGTTCTACTCATCTGAAATTGAACCTGGTGTGAAATGTCCAGTGGATATGCTTTGGGGTCTGCCTTCAAGCACTGGGGATTTACTTTAACAAACTTTATTTTTAAAAGGCCACAAATTTGGCTTGCAATTTTATACTACTGCAAAACAGAGTGTCACTGACTTTTCAAATTTAGCTCCTTTAGCATTTCTTTGAATGGCGAAATAATATCATTGTTTTTAAATAATTACAACATTATTCATCTACCTAGCATTGTCATTAGCCACTGAAAAGAACTCTTTGTTTCTTGATTAAAGGAAAAACATTACCTAAAAATATATGGCCTGAGTTATAACCTCACAGAGTGGAATAGTACACAGTTGGTAGCCGCAAGTGCTGTCTGTTCATTCCAGTTTCTGCACATTCCTCTTTCTGTCATGGGATTCTTGGGGTGTCAGTTCTCTAGCCAAAAACCTCTGGGCTAGCGTCGCCTTCTGCCTGAGTAGTGCTGGCGCCCACTGGGCTCGTTCTGCCCACTCAGTCTGGCAGGCTGCACTCGGCTCACACTATAGGCCTGGATCCCACACCTGTCAAGGGTGAGCCAGGCACGGAGTGGCAAGGGGTGTTTGGGCAAGTGAGCACTGTGTCTGGCCACTGCACACAGCCAGGCATGCTGGCTGCTGCGGCAGGGCAGGCAGCTCTAGGCACCGGCACAGGTGTTGGCTCTTTAAGAGGCTGCGACTGGACCAAATGTACTGCACACAGCTTCCACTATGGGCACATGCATCTGGCCGAAGGGGATGTGGTGGCACCCAGAAGCTTGGAGACACCAGGAACCACAGAGCCCCAAAGAGGGTGTCACAGCCCTGACTCCAGGAGCCCATAGGAATAAGCTCCCATAAGGGCCACAGCTGTTCTCTCTTTCTCATTACCTGCAACATGGCGAGCTGAGGGTTTCAGCCCTGTTTGTGTTACAGCTCTATCAGTCCTGCATTCAGCGGGTCCCAAGCTGTTGTCCTGCGTCCAGGAAAAATGAGGTACGTGGGCCACTGGAGGGTGAGCAAAGTGGAGAGGAGGTTCATTGAGTGACAGAAAAGCTCTCAGGAGACCTGAAGTGGGTAGCCCCCTCCACAGGCAGCTCATCTTGATATCTGTGCAGAACCCAGCAGAGAAGAGACCCAGAGTGGGTAACTCCTTTCTGCAGCTGGTAGTGTTGACGTCTGTATGAGTCTGACTGAGTCCAGGGTTTTCATGGGCTCAGAAGTGAGGAAGGTGTACTGATTGGTCCATGGGCAGCCATGGACAGGCCTGGAAAAAGCACCATCAGTTCTCACTCTGGGCTGTGGACTCCCCCCAGAACCCGCAGCCTGGCCCCCAGGCTTCAGGCTGTCCCTGCCTTGGAGGGAGGGTTTCACCAGCGACCTGCCCATTCCCATCCAGGAGCACGTCTGCCTCCTGCCGCCATCAACATGCCCTCCACAGTACCCAGGATGTTCGTGCTGAGGGGTGCCTGCAGGCCTGCACTGAGCTGTCTTAAGCTCCACCTCGGCCTCCCTCCTGTGCTCATCAACATCCAAAGTCCAGAGGAGGCCAAGGTGGAAGAAGGCTGTTGTGACAACACTGTCCGAGCACACACACACTGGGTTGGGGTCGGTGGGGGGCGGTTCTGACAGCACCCGGGCTCAGCCACAACTTTGCTCCACCTTGGAGTGGGCACCAGGAGCAGGGAGAGGCCAGGGAGCAGGAGCAGGCACTTCTGAGCCTGCGGGGGCAGCGGAGCTTCCCGGGCCCCCAAGAGGGCAGGGATGCCCAAGTCCAGAGTCATGGCCAGGCTGCTGCAGCTGTGCCTGGAATTGCAGGGCTTTCGCCCAGTCAACTCGGTAGGGAACAGGGCTCTCGCCTGTCCCCTGCCCCTACTGGCTCCATCAGTCAGGCACACAGCCCTAGCCTCACCTTGCCCCCTGCAGCTGGAGGCTTTGCAACGGTTGTTCCAGATGGGCCGCTGGTGCCATCATTTCCACTACCGTGATACTTTTTTCTTCTTCCTCTGTTGGTTCCATCTCTCTTCTCCTGGTTTTCTGCTCCTCTGTTACTACCTAATGGAACACATTACCTATGTTTTACTCTTCTCACAGTACTAAGGTTAATGGAACTTCTGATTCCCCGTATTTCCTTACAGGAGTGATTAAGTGATTTGTAAGAAATCATTTTATTTTCTAGAAATGCGGTCCCTTTATTTCTTCCTCTAGTGTGCGCATTAATCTTTTGCCTATCCAACTCACTGAGAAGAAAGGAGGGCTTGCTATTGAATCCAGATCTCTGATTATGAATCAAGGGAACTATAATCAAACAAGTTCTCTAGTCATGCTACCTTATGATTTCTATGAACACGCTAAAGATACCGGTATGTATTCCTCAAAATATGTGCCAGCCATTTCCACTAAGGCTGATGTTTAGGGAAGATTGGGTCTGACATAATACATCACATACAGCTGAGGCTACCTAAATGTTGTGTTTATCTGAAGAACTAAATTTTTGGATAAACACAGAATCTGGAGTACTGAATATAAGTGAATAGCAAAAGCTCCTAAATAGATGTACAGAAACTTCAGTCTGGACCTTTCAGTTTGTTACTTCTCCACCTACCACAGCTGTGCTAAGAAAAACTACAGAAATAGATGTGTGGGGCACTTCTCTAGGAAAAATAAGAAAAAAGATCAACATTTTATCAAATTTCTAGTACAGAATTAGATAGTGGTGGTGGTTGCGTAATCTTTTGAATATACTAAAAACCACTGAATGTATACTTTAAGAAGGTGAATTACATGGCATGTAAATTATATTTCAATACAAAAAAAAAATTCCATAACAACACTCAAGCATCACTCAGTGGGAAGCAAAGTGCATGGACAGTGCAGGAGTGCTATCTCGGGCCCATCAGGCAGGGTGCCACCCTTTGCCAAGGCTGTGCTGTAATGCAATCACTGTGGGGCCATGTTGGACTGAACCCTGAGTCTAATGAGTTCTCTCCTTCCAGCCTCCCTCAAATTACCCACCTCAAATTACCCATAATAGTCTGCTCCTATTTCCCCAAACCTGTCCAGATGGAATAGGCTCCTTAATTTTCTAAAGCTCCTCTCCAACTTAAATTTTATATTTTAAACTCTCCTGTCTTATCCTTGTTCATACATCATAACCATCTGTTTTCTTCCCTGATTTAATGGACCCATCTTTACCCTGTCTAAACCCACTTCTAGTACCAAAGATTTATTGCCTTTATTGATTTATTGTTAGGCTGCCATTTAATGAACAATTTTTAAGGAAAGATGGAGGCATTCAATATGAACTACTCTACACTCTATTTCTGAGCTGTGTTTTCAACCTAGTATTTAATTAGTTTATAATGAGCTAGTCATCTGCAGTAAATGAGGACCCTAATTGTTCCTGCGGTAATGCTGATTTTCACATGTGATCTCAATATATTTTCCTAATTTCCTGGTGGGCACTGTTTCTGTCAGATGTGAATAAATAAGTCTCCAAGCTTATTGGTTGGGCAGGCTTGAAATGACGAGTAGATGAAGGTTGGTTATAACTTCTCAAGAGGTTGATTTTATCGTTGGCATTTTGGCAGAAATAATACGCTTTGCAGAATAAGGAAACTTTTATTTAGGTGTAGTGACGTTCTAAGCCTGACATGCCAGAAGAAAACCACAAATTTCTTTATAGGAAAGAAATCAGTCTTAAAAAGTTCTGAGGTCCAGCCTAACCTCCATGCCACTATGAAATTCCACTTCTTCAGGATTTCAAGTCAGACCAAGAATTAACACGTGCTGAGGCCAAGCTAGCTGTCTATCATCCTAGCTAAGGGAACACTTTGCTTTGATATTAAGAGAATCTGAGCATCTGCTCTCCTTGCCTTAGGGATGAGGAAAGAGAGAATCCCAGTGAATCTGATGAAACATGGAGTCTAAGGGGAGTTGGGATATGA